TATCCAGAATAAAATCCTAATACCTAAGGTACTAGTAAAAAATGTATTACAGACAGTTCATGCACATCACTTTGATATTCAAAAGACATGTGAGTTTGTGAAAGCAAAATACTACGGAGAGGTATGTATAGCGATACCAAAAGTTTTGTAGAAAATTGTTCAGTTTGCTTACAAAATAAGTCTAGACCACACAACACTCTGCCACGTCTAATTCCCAAGAAAGATCTTGCTCCTGGAGAGATAATAGCTATAGACATACTTGGTAAACTACTAAGATCCATAGATAATAAGTTTTATGTACTCACTATCATTGATCATTAATTTGGAAACAGCTCCATTAAACAACTGCACTTCTCAGTCCATTGTAAAATCTTTAAATGATTATTCCGCCAGATGTGGCATTCCTAAAATTTTGTTCTCAGACAACGATTTTTATTTTCGTTCACACAGAATTTAATCAATTTTTAAAATCACTTAAAATAGAGCACAGAAAAAGTTCGATTTATTATCCACAGTCAAACGGGTTGATTGAAAGAGTACACAGGGTGATGAAGGAATCAATTGCAGCAATATCAAACAAAATGTTTCAATGGTCACAAAAAATACTGATATTTAAACTGTATTACAATAATGCTAAACATTTCGTAACTCAATTTTCACCAGCAGAACTATTTTTTTTTTTTTTTTTTGGTAAAACGTTAAATACTTCCATAAATAACAATGATTCTCTTAAACTAGCAGAACATTTCCAGGAATTAAGTAGAGGTAAGGAACAAGTAAAAGGGAATGAGGATGAATACTTTAATTGTGCAAAAAAATATTTGAAGGGAAGAAAAATTCCAGAATTGAAATCATGGGATAAAGTTTTTATGCAAGTATTTACTGATAGAAGGGTGTTATATCCAAAATACAGGAGACCATATATTATAAAGCTATTAGGTTCTGAAATCAAACAAACTTCTAACCCCAAGTATCTTGGACTGACCCTAGATGCAGAGTTGAGATTTTCTAAACACCTTGAACATGTTTCAATAAAAAAGCTAAACATCCTTAAAAGACTTTGTGGTGCCTCTTGCAGATCAAGACCAAAAACCCTCAAAAATACTTACACTTCCATCGTCAGGCCTGTTCTCGAATACGCAGCACCCATATGAGCATCGGCAAGGCCACTGTTAAAGGAAAGATCGACGCTGTTCAATATAGGGCCTCTAAAATCATCACTGAAGCTGTTTCTTCAACGAATAACATCAAAATTGAAAAGGAATGCGGCCTAGCCCCCTTGGAGAGCAGAAGAAAATTAATAACAATTAAATTTACCAACAAAATACAAACCCTTGCTGAACATCATATCTCAAGTAGAACCTTCAGGACATGGAGTGATAATTGCAGGCTCAAGAGATCATCAACCCTCCAACATGACCAAGATATCAGAAATGACATCAACTTCAAATATGAGACTTTCAAAATTTCCAAAGAGCCTTACAACATTCTGTGCAACCTTCTCCAAACAAAAATTTATTTAAATTTCTTACAGCCTTGTACCAAGAAAGATCCCACTGCAATAATCAAAGAAAAGGGTGACCATACCATTGAGGAACTCACGACCTTAATTCAAGATCTGACGATCGCCTACACAGACGGCTCTTCCGACTCCAATCTGAACAGAGGAGGAGCGGGAGTCTTTTTCTTCGGACCAGACTGAGTGCAAAAATGCCACAGTATTCCTGTTGGGAAAATCGCCTCCAACTATACATGCGAGCTCGTCGCCATCAAAAGTGCTCTGGAGATTTATCTCTCTAAAGAAGACCAGAGTTCCAAGAGCATCATCATCTTCTCTGACTGCAGATCAGCATTACAAGCGATCCAGAAGGGTCAACTCAGTCATCAGATCATTGAGCTCGCAAACAAAATCATTGCTGCCCAAAGATCCTGCATCTTACAATGGATACCGGTTCATGTAAATGTTTTTGGTAATGAGAAGGCCGATGAGCTTGCAAAGGCATCCCGTGATTCTCCTCAGCCATCCAACTGCCTAACCCTCGTTGATGCCAATGCAGTTGCCAGCCAAAGACTAATCGGTCAAGTTCAAGGAAACTCCATCCCGAAATTGAACTGTGACAGAGCTATATCGACTATCATAACCAGACTTAGGAAAATCACTTAAAAGGGATGAGGATTTCTGCAGACGGACAGCGTAGTTACACCAACATTTGTCCTCATTGCCCAGATGACATCCCACTGTCTCGCCATCACATCTTCAGTTGCCCAGCAATCCAGGCTAGACTGTTTAACATCGGCATTGAAGACCCAGTGGACCTACTTTATACTGATAGAGTTGCCGAGGTTGCAAAAGCTGTCTTTGACAGCTTCGAAGCTATATAATTGCACTTTGTCATAGACACGACATCATCACAGGGGACACATATGAAACTATTAAAAGGCTGCGAAATGATAATTATATAATACAATTAGATAACAAAAGCAAATGGCTTTTACAAAAGCCTTCAAGAATAGATTCGATAGAAAATAAGGATTAGAAGAACAACGCTATTGCAAATTGTAGATCAGCGAATTAAATTTAAAAAAAAAAAAAAAAAAGGTGTAAAGAAATTGTGGTTATGATAGGCATGTTTATGAATGATTATGTATGGTATGAGTTAACTTAATGTAATAAAGCACTAATTGCACGGTTTTGGTAGAGTTGGCTGGTCTAGAATCGAGTTGTACTATGCATGGTCTAATTAACTGTACTAGGTAACAAATTCAAAAAGAAAGTGCTTTATATCTTTTTGTCATGCTGATGAATCAAAGTAAAGGCATGTAATTTAGAAATTGATCTAATACAAATGTAGTTTGCAAAAATGTCATGACATATTGGTATATGAAATGTATATGTGAAATGTATACGATCAAATGATAAAATTAACTATGTAATGTAAACGTGAATGGGATCCTAGATTGTAAAGAATAAGGTAATGTAAATATTGGTTAAGAAGTGTAACATCAAAATTGATAATGTAATGCCATTAATTTAAGCGATTAATTGAATATTGTATCACATGTGAGTTATAAATTATATATGTCAAGTGCAAATTTTTTTTTATTGACTGGAATCACATCTCTAGTGGTATGTTAGTCAGAGTAACAATGCATGAGTACTTCAGAGAATAATACAAATTTAGGAATGTAATGACTATGTATCCTGAAGTGTTAAGTGCAGTGTTTTTTCCAAATAATGTGAAATATTGATGTGAAGTGTGCGTATAGTGCGAAAGCTTAATTGTGTCCAGCAGAAAGTGATTTCATTTGTTCAGTGATAGGATAAATTTTTTCTTCGGCCGGAGGGAATGTGACTTTCCACGGCCGGAGAGAATGTGACGTTTTAAGAAATCCAATTAATTGAAAACCAGATTGTTTCAAGTATGATTGCCACAAAGTCCCAATATGGTGCTTACGTATTAACGCCACCGCAGCAGAAGTTGCGCTGATGCGCTAATAAAGAACAATCCTGTTGTTCGCACGCAGTTATCTTTTGGATTCCTTTTTGCCTTGTTGTTTGCTGATTTTTGACGCCAGTTTTAGTGCTACGAAAATGCGTCTTTGGATTTACCAAACACAGAAGAAGTTTCAGTTTTATTTTTTCAGGAGCGAAATATTTTACCAAAAAAACGAAATGTACCAATTCGCATGATATGAAACTTTATTTTGGTAAGCGTACGTTTTGGAAATGTAATTTATGAAATTAAATTTTGGACAGTGTGATCAGCAAGTGGGACTTAGAAAAGACAACTGGTTTGATGGAAGCAAAATTCCATTTTGTTCAGCTTTGAGATTGTTCAGCTTTGAGATTCATATACTGCTGGTGCGAGGAGTTGACGTCGATTAAATTTTGTAAAAAGCAACTTGATTTATCGGATAAAACTGTTATAGATTGGAACAATTATATGCGGGAATGATGTGTCTTGGATATGGAGAATCAACCAAACAAGAAGGTGGCTGGACCAGATTGCTAATTGATGAAAGTTTGTTTACTAAGCGTAAAAATAATAATAAATAGTAGTCAAATATTACCCGAACACCGAGTGTTTGGTGGTATATGTAGAAAAACAAAATATTCATTTGCTGTCACTATTCCTAATCGAACTGGCTCTACCCTTCTTAAATTATTGAAAACATTGCAGATTGTAGCACAATTTATTCTGATACAGTACAAAGTCTTTAATCTGAACTCGTCGGGACTTCAGCGATTCCTACATGCTAAAGTTAATCATAAATACAATTTATTGATCCAGATACAGGAGTTCTACACAAACAGTTGAGAGAAGTGGGGCAGGCAAATGTAAACAAGAGATATAGGGGGACAGTGATACATCATTTAGAATCTTATTTAGCAGAGTTCATTGAGAGAGGCGACAGCATCAGGTTAAAAAAAATAGAGACTGTTTTTGAATCTATGTTAAACTCTATTTCGCCCATTTTCCACCGAAATCCGATTGACTACTTTGATTTTTAAATAAAGTGTTTTAATTTATGATTTGTCGCAAAAATTTTAGGTGTAGATTGGCGGCACTTAAAAACCGCCAAATCTGCTGCTACGGTGGCGTTAATACGTAAGTATCCCCAAAATTAATTCTCTCATTTTTTATTGTAGGGTTATTTGGAGCATAGAACCTTTACGAGCAAAGGCAGTACGACTGCTATAGTGATTATTGAGACTTACACAGTTTCTGTAAAGTATCATACAGCTGTTATCCATCCATCTGTTTGGCGTAGTCCCTAAAATAGGTTATATACCCGAAAAAGAAAGAGAAACTGAACACATTTGCGTGTTTCCGTGATTATTGTAATGTGAAAATTTCCGTAATATCTTGTATATTAAAATTTAAAAACTATTTTCAGTGTACTATATCTCTTGTTCCTTACAACTGATCGCAATAACACCAAATATGATCTCTAATAAATCTTTAAATTTTCAATATTGATTACTTTTATTCTCTTAGCAAAAACTGGTGCTCTTACCAAGCTACCAAATTAGTATCTTGTAAGGAGATAAACGGAACAGAGACTTTCGTCGGACAGCAGTTTCAACGTTGCTGGTACTGGCCATACAGTGAAACATGCGGTGGATCTTACAGGTTTGTATTGTTCATCCTTTCTTATTTATGCATGGGTTACTCTTTTCTGCTTTGAGTCTTTAAGGTATAATGTGTAATATTTTGCAGTTCTGAATTAAAATACTTAAAGTAAATTGATCAAACCGAGTGGGGGAAAATTATCGACTACTATGCTTAATTTGAGCCCCATGTATAGAGACATAGTGGACCAACATTCGGAAGTGAAATATCTTGAAAATGCGTAATATCTGTTGTTGTCACTTATGCTCGCTTGTCTGACGTAGTCAGCCCAAGCCCACGAAATTCCTTGTAACAAGGAGCGCAAGATTATGCCTATCGTTGGCAACAGCCTTGAGCACATCACAGTACACCAACAGTACGGTTCCGTTCCCAATTTTGGATGGAGAGCACCCCGGAGGGGGTACGGGTCCGAGGGTCTCCCACCGCTTCCCCCTTCCACCAAACCACACGAGAAGCACCACCAATCATTCTCGGCGACCTTGTATTATTCCTGTTGTATAAATTTCACTCAGTAACAGACATGAAAAAGCAAAAATTCATTCTCTAATACCTCCCCAAATTTTTCCTGCAAAAGTAAGAAAATTTTTAAGACGTCATGAAAAGTTAGATTTAATTTTTATTTGCAAGTTCTTTCCGCTTATAATATTATTTTCATAAAACCAAATATTAATTAAATATTCTTAAAGGCAGAATGCCTTTAAGAAAATTTGTAACTGGAAGTACATATCCAAGATAAATATTTAAGAAACTGATATGTGTAGCCAGCTTTTTCGACTGTTCACATATATAGCGAAAAATGATGTAAATTTGTATAAAATATTCTGATATTACCTTTTATTTAGTTCACTCATGGTGTTTGTCACTATGGCCAAACGTTCTATCAAGTTCAGTTTTTGGGCACGTTTTTGTTTGTGTATGAGCAGTGAAGTGGTCTTTTCAGACGTTTATGGTTTTAAAATTTCCATTCCTAAAAATGTATCGGTTACAAAATTTTGAACTTTTCACAGATCAGGGAAAAAACTATTAAACCCGTTTTTAAATGTAGGAAATCGCGTAATTAATATTTTTATCATTCTTGTTTTAAACAAACTAATGATTAAAAATAGTTATTAATTACGCGATTTTCTATTTTCCTCCCCCACCCCTCCAAAAAATGTTACAGTGTGAAATAGAAGGTCTTCTTCGTAAGCGTTGCTGGGAAACATGCCAAGGTTATGATGTTACTGCTTCATTCTGAAAACTACCGCGCCATTTTTAATTTTTTTTTCTATTTCAAAAGCTTATATGTTACTCTCCGCATTTCATTTCATTATTTGTTTTTCATAATTTTTATCTAAATCTTGATTTTATTTTAAGGGTTGATTTTCTGAATTTGTGGAATTTTAAAATTCTATCGTCCAAAAATATGTGTTAAAGTTTTGAAATTTCCTAATGTTATAAAAGAAATTCCACACACTCTTTTATAGTAAGAACAATGCAAAAATGTTAATTACGTGACTTTCTGGAATTTCTTTTAAGCTAGCTGAGCTTTTATAAGCTTTTATTAAATACTAATCTTTGCATTTTGGTCATGAAACGTCTTTTGATATTTTAATAAACTTATAGTAATATGTTTTAATCATTTTTTAATTTGCAGAGTAATGAAGAGACCGAAATACGTTACTGCATACAAAGTGAAGACCGAAACACTCTGGAAATGCTGTCCTGGTTATCGTGGACCAACTTGTGAACCAGGTGAGAAAAAAGTTGCAACGGTTTCCCAGAATATATATATCCCCCGTTCCTTTCCTATAAAAAAGAAACAGCTATCTGAGAATTGGTAACTAGTTAGCTTAATTTTTCTGTAATTAAAGATTAGCAAGTCAAATAAACTTATCTGATAGACCACGTCAGATTTTTTAAGTTCTAGATCTAAAATTTCCTACTACAGATAATGCAGAGCGCCTCAAAAAAACTCTATGTGCGTGTCGGTAGAAAAAACTATAGTTTTGACCATTACAATCGTCACTGTAATTGCACAGAAGGCCTGAACTTTTTCTCGCAGTTGATTCCACACATAAAAATATTTCATTTTACTTCACATCGTGTAGAGTTGTCCAATTATATTTGTGTTTATTATTGCAATGGGGCAATCTGAAAATAGGAATTAGATCAAACTAATGATAAAATAATAAATACAGTATTCCAAACTCAAAATGCACGCTAGCCACATTCACGATCTGAAAACAACTGACTGGCCCCAAGTAGCACAACAACGTCTGCAAACTCGTCGCGAATGTCGTTGCAAAAACGTTGCAATATGTCGTCTTTAAGACGCCCAGATGTCCGCAAACATCCACTGTTTTGCAACCGTTGCAAAGACGTCTTTATTACGTCTTTGCAGATGAGATTTTTGTCACATAGACGTCGTTATTGCGTCTTTCGCAGGGTCGTTATTGCGTCTTTTGGTTGTGAAAACATCGTATCACAACGTCTTAAAGACGCCTAAATGTTCGCAAAATTTCACCTTTTTGCAACAGTTGTGAAAATGTCGTTAATTTGTCCTTGGCATATTGATTTATGCAGAAAAATAAGCTTAATAATTAATATATTTTTCTTCTTTTTTAAAATTTGGTATTCCTTGTATTTATCTAAAGTTTAAATATTTTATCATTTCCTGAAAAACAGAAGATAATACAATTTTTTCTCTTTAGACAAAATATGCATATTTAATAATAGCCTTAATTATTTTCAGTACTTTAAACTATAGTTTTTAAATTTCTCTTTAGACTAAATATGCGTAACTAATAAAAGCTTTAATTATTTTCAGTAATTAACAACTGTATTTTTGGTATTTATTTACTAAACTATATTTTTTAAATAACTTAAATTCTAAGTTACGATTGTTTAAGATTTCATCAGTTTTTTTTTGCCTTGAGAGTAATTATGAAAGTGGTTATTATAAATATATAACATTAATAGTAGGTTTTAAGTAAATAAAACTCAATTAGGCATAAATAAAAGTAATATATGGGGTAAAAAAAAAAAAAAATGAGCGTTTCTGATAACAGCATTATCACATTTATTTCTGTTAAATCTCAGAAACATTGAAAATTGCCCCTGTCATGATAAATTAGGAAGCGGTTCTTAAGGTAACATAATTAGCATTTCACCTGAACTCAGGTATAAATAAATTTATTCGCGTTTCACGGTAAAAAATATAACCATTAACTTCTATATCTCCAAGATATGCAAATGACACACAGTATAAAGTAGTTAATAAATGTGATCAAAATATACCTAAATCTAATAACTTCCCATATTCATATCTAAAATGAAATAATAACCTAACAAACAACATAGATGACAGCATTATTTAAGAAAAAACATTAACTAGTAGTGTTTGAAAGTATAAATAGCAGAAGGAAGGTAACAGAACTAAAATTTCCAATTAATAAAAAAATTGTGTTTTTTAAATAGTAAGCAATTAAAAGTGCAATAATTATGGACTGCAGTATTTACTAGTAATGCTGATGTTTCTTAACACCATTTCTTTCGATCATATGTTAATGTATTTACTTATTTTTAGTTTTTACATTTTAGAATAGTGGTAGATTACAATGATAATTTCATGCACTTTTTATAATCAATAACTTTCCTTTTGTTACTGTACAGAAATAATTTAAATAATATAGTATACGATAGTAAGCTAAGTACTTTGTTAAAGTAAGCTCTTCGTTAAAGAGCACACGATAAAGCTTTTTGTTTGTATTTATTATGAATTTCTTTATTGTCACAAGCACATAAAAAGTAAGCGAAGAAAATAGAATATACTTAAATTTAATAAAAAATAAAACCTGATTTCCAACATTCATTTATTTAGACAATCTAATAAACATACATAACGGCAGTATTAAAAAAAAAAAAAACGCGAATTACACAGTGTTTGGAAGAATAGATACCAAACAAAAATAATTAAACTGTAATTTGCAATCAATAAAAAATATTTAGTGTTCTTTAATATTACACAATTAAATATCACGTAATTATAGATTACAATATTTCATAGAAATGCTAATGTTTCCTTAACACTAGTTTTTCTATCGTACATTTCATACACTTTAAAATCATTAACCTTTTCTGCATACTGTACAAAAGACAATATACTATAGAATGTTGCATTATTATTAATTTTAATAATTAAATAATTGCTTATATTATACATATATCTAATTCATCTTCAGTAGTAATATTAAATACTGGTACCAGTCCAATAATTTTTTTTTTTTTTTTTTTTTTTTTTTTTTGTATTTTGAAAATAATGAACATACCATAACAGCTTGAATTGTTGTTGCTTCTGTATTGCGGTACAGGTCAGTTCGACGCCAACGTTTCGACGCCAACGGTTCCACGCCAGCGTTTCGACCTGTGGTCAATTCTACACAAGGTTGTTTCGACGCGGGGTCTGTTCGACGCCATACGTTTTTTGCTTTTGTTTGACGCCATACTTTTCGTATTTTTATTTATTTTTAGAATAAGTTTGCATCATCATCATTTGGTGTTTCACACCTCACATTATGGGAATTCATAGATGGTCTCAGGCGTGTTCAAAAATCAATTGATCTATGTTGTGAACAATTTGTACGTGGAGATGAACCGCCGCACAAGCGGAATAGGTATCTGCGAGCTGATATGAGAATTAAAGTAATAGTTGAAAATTTTGAAAATTGAGAAATAATGGAATACCTGAAAGGTGTGGCCCATAATTTTGCAATGGATTAGTATAATAACAGTTCTGTGATATAATCTTATTTATCTCTAATTTTATTTATGCATAATATTATTTATCTGTAATCTTATTTATCTGTAATTATATTTTTCAGCAATATAATATAACTACTTTGTAACCATATGTTTATTTACCATTTGTGTATTTTGCCTTTTTGATGCTGTTTTGTGAAATAAATAAATTTAAAAAAAAATCCTCCCTGATGTACCGGGGCCTTGACGTTGGCGAGGGGTCTTCTCACTAATCTGGGACACAAACAAAAATCTAGAACATTTTCACACATATACACACATATATTTATTTCAAATATGTATGCAAACAATCGCTAATTCAATAAATAAAAATCAGTCATATTACTTATTTATATCACTTCATATTTATTCAAAAAATAAATAAAAATGGGAAAAAAATATGGCGTCAAACTGCCCCTGCGTCGAAACGTACGGCGTCGAACTGCCCCGGCGTCGAAACGCTGGTGTTGAACCATTGGCGTCGAACCGTCGGCGTCGAAACGACCTGCTTCGCTGTATTGATTGCATTTTCAGCAAAACCAGAGAGTGGCTTACCGTTGTATGTTATTTTTGGTTTTATATGTAATTCTGAAAGCCAACAGGACGTTATAACCGAAGCACAAAGCTAGTAAGTTTATCCAAATATTGCACCGCTTGAACCACAGTGACTGGAGACAGACACTATTTCCACAGAGACACTATTTCACGAACTACAGAGACACTATTTCACGAACACTATATTCCACAGACCACTATAGACCCCAGAGAGACTATTTCACGAACACTAGATTCACGATTAGCATTGTGGCATTTTTTGTAGAGCAGATATTCACACACAAAATAAGCGCAAATTCAGCATTCTCACAATAATTTCACTCGCTGAAGGCAGTTGAAGCAAGTAGATACAGAACAATGACAAGATTCACAATGTGTTCTTTGACTGACAGTGCATTGCATTTACTTTTAATATAAGCAATATTAGTTATATCAGTCATTGCTTGATTCAATTTCAAACATGAAGTAAGTCTTTTCAAACGCCTTACAGATGGCATCTTTACCAAATTACTGCTAGAAAAAAGAACTGCTAGAATCTGAATTAATTGCGCAGTTGTTCGAATCTGGCAGCTGGCCAAAGCGCGCAAATCTCGAGATGTTCGTTTATAGAAGCATCCAGTAAATAATGTGCAGGTCTGCTCTCCTTCCGCCATATATATTGGACAACCGTGAATTCGTCCTTACTTCAGAAATAAGAAATAAAGTCATATTTCAGTAGTGAAATAATTGCTAACATGTGATTTGCATTCATTTCGGAAATATGATTTTTTAAAGTATATAAAATGCATAACTTACATTATAGATTAGTTTCGTTTTTGAATATTTTGCTATAATAGATATAAAAAATATTTTAAGTATTAATTCTTTTTAACAAAATTTTAAACAATTATTTAGCACGTATTTTTAGTGCTAATTAAATTTAATAAATCAAAAGTACTTATATTAAATTTACATTTTATTAGATGAATCTATCATATTAATATATTTAGATGAAATAAAGTAATGAAACATTGCAAAGTAAATCTTATGTGTACTTCAGATTCTTGTTAGGGGAGATTTAGTCTCTTTTCATTCTAAAAATAATGCTGATGAACTAAAAAAAATGCTAAAACAACCACGTCTAAAAGTGGTCATATCATGACGTTTCAGCAACATCGGCAAATTGCCAAGATGCAACGTTGTAAAGACGTTGAAACGTAAAGTCGTAAAAGTTACCACGACCACTTTGCAACCTCTCGGATTTGCAACATCGTATACTACTTGGGGCAAGAATTATCATTAGCATTTTTTTTTTCCCTATAATGGAAAGTCTTTCCAGCAAAATAAATATATTTTTAATAAATTTTGTATTTTACTCACTAAACATATATCAAAACATAACAAACAACAATAATATCATAAATGAAATAAACTAAAATTTTAGTAATTTATATGTATTGACAGCTAAATATTAAATTCTTAGACTGACATTTCTTTCAAATAATTCTAACACGTTTAATTAGTCTTTAAATAATTAATTTAAACAAAAAAATAAACAACAAGTTATAAAGTTTTTTGATAAATTTTTGCAAGTGGGACAAATAATGCAGAGATAGTCTCTTTCTCTTATTTATTAAATTTTTTTTTCGGCTAGTAAATAAAAATAACTGTAAACTTCTTTATTCCTCACTACAGCTTGACGCTTGATGCAGTTTCGGTTCTGGTATAGTTTGTAGCCTTGGAGATAAATTACTAGAAATTATCTTAATCACAAACTGTAGATGCTCGTCGGACAATCGAATTCTTTTCGTATCAGTTTTCAGCTATGAAGAAACTTGCTTCACATATAAGTGTATTCGCAAACAAAGCGAATTAGTCTTCTAATTCTTATACAAAAATTCTTAATACAAAAATTTTATTTCTTCGTATAAGATTTATTTTACACTGTAAATTATATAGCTCAATTTATAGAGTTCCTGCTTTGTTACTTATGTTCGCTTTTAATGGTAATGAAAATAACATAAACTCGAACTTGAAATCTTTACAATACATATTTGCGACAAATACATAGCTGAAAGGTCTTCGCGTGCCGCATAAAATTGTTTCGGAAACCACTGCAGTGTACAATAAACTGCTAACTTCAGTTTGTTCAAAGCTGTTTCCTCTGATATCTATACCATTGTTTTACTTATCCAGAGGCGTTGGTGTATATAATTACGGCAAAGCACACTAGGGCTATTTGCCTAAGGGGAGGGATGCCTTCGTGGAGGACTTTCTAAGGGAAACTGGCTCGTATACACGTTACACATGGGGAAAACCACAAAAACGCCCATGCAGCCAGCCCGTTCGCGGGATTCGACCTCGGACCGAACTACCAGCGTTCAGCGATTTTACCGCTCGGCCGCTGATGGGCACCGCTTATCCAGAGAATGACTGCTGACAAGCACTACGTAAAACTGCTCGAAATTTTCGTCAATTTCCTAGATATTTGACACACTCTTAAAATAGCACCTTTTAAAAGATAGTGAAACGTAGGTTCACGAATTTACTTCTGTTCTAAAAGCCGTTTATCAACCGAAACGTTCTTAAACCGAAAAACTTTTTTCGTAGAAATTCATGTAAAATGGATCCATTTGTTCTTGGACCACAGATAATTATTTATTTAAATTTATAATAGTACTCTGCACAAGTTTGTAATATAGAACCAATGTAAATCATTAATATAAAATAAAAAGATAAAATGATATTAAACCAATAAAATAGACGACAATTTGATTTAATTATACTAATGTACGAAAGAAAGGGAACGGCGTAAGTGGAAATGATGAAGATACTAAAAACATCAAGTGACAGTCTTTATCTTTTTTTATCTTTGCTTTGCTACTAAGCGCCGCTTTGTTTGAGGTGCACTGGGCTTTTGTTTCACTTATAATTTGTCCAATGCAATTTATTATGCACGTTTAAAATGCTTCTTAACTGTGACAAGGCAATGTTCATTGAAAAAGCATGTATTGTAGCTTGCTACTGCTTTAGCTGGATGATATCGTTACGGGGAAACTTTGCATCTTAACCCATTTTGCTCAAATTTCGCTGTTTAGAGAACTAAGATTGTTTTTTCGTTCTTCCTCTTCTTTTGAAGACATTTCTTCTGCGATTGCCTCTTGTTGCTGCTTCCGAAGTTATATTGTAGTTCTTAGTTGTTGAGTTCATTTTATAGTCTTCTAGTAAGCTTAAACCTTCATTATTAATTTTCTTTCTAGTTCTCCTACGGATTTACCAGAGACACAATATCAGATAACAAAAATATCCTAAGCGTTAAAGCGCTCAAAGTCTCTGTCTTCAACCCATCCAGCCGGCCGAATTCATGATGTTTGCTTGTTACCAGGCTTTGAAACATTAATTGGAATGTGTGTAACTCAAGATACCTTCCGTCATTTAAGGCGTTTTTTGTTCAGATTATTTGTTCGGGAAATAAGACGTTCGTGATCCGACGTTCCACCGTGTTACGGTTTTGGGAAACGGAAAATAATCAGACGGATTTCAGTCCGATGAAAAGCAGGCCGAGACAAAATGCATGCACATTCTTTTGACCAGTTTCTCGAACATTGCGATAAGGGGTACATTTTTCGTGAGAAAGCTATCAGTTTTTTTTATCCTTACAAGGGGCATATGAAATCGGTTATGCTATTCTGGTTACCCAGGCTTCACACGATAAGTTTTTGTGTTTTAGATCATCTTATTTAAATGTAGTAAAATTCTGCTCACTGGACAGGAATTCGTTACGTATAATTCTCTGTTCTTATACATCTCAATGAGCCTTGTTAGTCCAAAGGGGCAAATTTCCCAGGAGGCCTATTAATTTCGTTTTGGCATTTTGCGTTGATTCAATAAAGCGTTGTTTCACTTTTCAAGTTGTTGCCCACAAGTATTATCGATCTGTATTACATTTACAGGAATTAAATAATGAAGAATCTGCATAAATGTGTGCATGTTTCTCGCACTGTGATAAAACAACGGTACCTAGAGAAATCAAATTTTCTGGAAGGCCAAATTTGAAATTTAGAATTTGTTTTATTATCTATTTCCTATTCTCTAAAACTTTAACGAATTTTTGACTAACAAACTCAAAGATTTCAAAGTGAGCAATGGTAAAGTTGTACAGAAAAAATATTTTTATGTCCTGCGCGCGAGACTGTGTATTCGGAAATTCTAAAGATATGCTCATTTTAAAACTATTTTGCGATATTGCTCTTGTACCGAAGTTTAAGTGCGAAGAACATGATATTTAATAAATAAAAATAACACATAAAATGTTAAGAAAACGCCCCTTCGGATGTAATTTAAAATCTGAAACCTTTCAATTTTTTTTATTATTTATTTATTTATTGCCTGTTTGAGTTTATTATATAGTAATTTAGGTGAACGCTATTTTAACCAGGGCTTAACTGCTAAAACTGGAAAAGCAAAAGCCCTAAGAAAAATCCTCAGAAACGAAGAAGAAAAATAAACAGAAAAAATAACATTAAATAAATGAAACGACAAATAATTAATCCTTTGGCGACGGCGAAACTAGCCATCAGTACGCCGCTACTAAATTTGAGGAGTTGATACTTTATAAGTTAACATGGCATGTAGAAGCTAATGTGACTTGCGTCAAGAACATTTTCTTATGCACTGTTTAAATAAGTGGTCTCATGCGCTTAGCTAAAAATTATATAGCCGATAAGACACTTAGTCGACAGCAATTAGCTGACAGGACATTTAGCAAACATGTATAGTTAGCTAACAAGACAATTAGCCGACACGGATACTTAACCACAGGGACATTTTGCCGACAGGACACATGTCAGATAGAACATCTAACTGAAAGGACATTTAGCCGACAGCACATAACGTACATGTAGATCAAAAAACATGAGACAATGTTTTAATATGTTTCAAATAGTGTTAAGTTAAAATTTGACCATATTTATCTGACAAAAAGCTGTTTTCAAGGTACTCAACGAGGAGGTTTATGGACATATACCACATCTTTGTCTTTATTTAATGCAAGAGTCTAGAGATTTTAAAATATGATCAAAAAGCAACCTTGTTTCGGCGAAGATTTTGAAATTAGTTTTGAGAGCAATTAGATACGGGATCGGAACAATTTTATGTGGAAAAAAATGACTGGAGCAAAACGAGAACGATGTGCTGTATCGACAAAATAGTAATGAAACCTGAAAAAACTAAGATATTAGAATTTTGAAAGGGTTAAAAAATTGATGTCAGTAACTAAAGAAAAAATATTTTCGTTAATGTGAAGGGGTTCAAATAAATCTATTTTACTAACTGAAGAGGCTTTACGGAAAATTTCTGCAGACTGAAATTCAAAATTATTCTTAAGTGATCAATTGTGATTAGCTAACAAAATTTTATTTATCTCTCCATTTCGAAAGTACGATTCATGTACCCTGACGAGGCGTTTCAGCGCTCTTTCAGTTTTGGCCGATATATGGCAAACCACATTGACATGGCAAACAGTATCAAACTAAAATTCCACAAGATATACCCTTATTGTAATATTTTCTGACATGACAAAAATCGTGATTTTTTTCCCTACACGTACAGTTTTCTGTTTTGCATGCAAAATTTCTAGATTAAAAATTTCTAGTAATTTAACGCTGCTGAAAATTTAAAGCTTTGGGGCAAATGACATCCGTTAAATTTCCATACAATATGCTGTAATTTTTTATTATATGCAATATGCTGTAATTTCCATGCAATATGCTGTTACATTTATTTTCAAAGCGTTTAACAGAAGTGGATGAATAACGATTTACGGTTTTTTCTGTTTTTTATTACAATTGTAACTCAGTATACGTTGAATTCTTACTAATTTGAAATTCACAGTGTTTCTTTCCGTTAGTTAAAAAAATTGCAGAAATCTCACGATTTACGGATTTTTCTGTTTTTTATTACAATTGTAACTCAGTATACGTTGAATTCTTACTAATTTGTAATTCACAGTGTTTCTTTCCGTTAGTTAAAAAAATTGCAGAAATCTTCAAAATCTTATTTAATAAGAAATAATTTGTCGAGTACTTAAAATAATTTGATGTGCTGCTTTTTCGACATTTACTCTAGTCTTTCGAAGTGCGCATTAGCATGAGTCACTGCATTATTGTTAATTATATTTTAATAATTATGTAAATTTTCCTTCTTATTTTCTTTTCGGTCTCTTCTTTTGTTACAGAGTCTCCTAACTCTACAAATGGGGAATTCCCTAAAAAAGGTGATCGAAAGGTGATAAACGTAAGTAAATTCTCAAGATACTGTAATATTTACACAATATACTGTAATACTGTACTAAAATTTTTCTATAAAAGTTTGTCTATGGTTTTTATGAATTTTCTTTATGCTGCAGCCTTATAGCTTATAGTACTTTTCAGTTAACGAAAGAGACAATCGCCAAATGTGCACCCACTCAAAGTTTTGAACCTATTTATAACGCATCATTGATTAACATTCCGATGATGTTGGGGGAAAAAGCAGAAAAATGAACGTCAAGCCCAGAAGTTTTTTCTTCTGTATTTTCGCTTCCTTAACATGATGAATTGGCAGTTAGATTTCGTACGAACGTTTGTGTCTGGCGCTCAATAGCCCCCGATCAATGGAAAACTAGCAATCCAAATCGCAGCTAGAAAAAATATATTGTAGATACCACCTGATTTTATAGTATGGCATATTAAATTATATACATTTTTTGCTGTGCTTCATTTAAACTTATCTTCTCGAATTATTCTAATTTAATTAACCGATTTCTCATGGCAAGTTGAAAATTATTTAAAAAATCGCAAATTCTCAAATTAAATATCCCAGTCATTTTTATCGTACGGAAGTCAAGCTTCTTACAATTTTATTTTTTTATAATGAGTATAAAAGTTTCCCAAACATAACTGTAGGAACCGGGAGAACGTGTTAAAATTTGGATTTCGTTATTTGTCCAAAATAATTTTTTCTTTGACATATTACATTATTTTATATAATATTTTTTGACCAAAATATTTGGCAAAACATGAGTATTTTCATCATTTAAAAAACTTGTGTAATTGGAAGTCTATGACTACAACCAATAAGTGTGAAAATAAAGGCCGTGTAAGAACTTCTAAGCGGAGTAAGAGGGGTGGGTGTTTATATATATATATATTTGGTTTTCAAAAGAATTGTTATATATATATTATATATAGAGAGAGAGAGAGGGGAGTTGTGCAGCACCTTTTTTATTGCAGCCGTCGGCACCATAAGTATGTATATATATATATATACTTATGGTGCTGACGACTGCAGTAAAAGAGGGTGGTGCACAACTAGATATTCTAGCAATCCCATACACAAATTTCAGTATTCTACAGTTAATCGTTTTTGAGTTATGCGATATCCATACATATTTGTAGACATTACAGAAAAGTCCATTTTACTATCCGTTTTGGAATAAAGATTCTATTATTCTGTCCATACGTACAAAGGTCTGGAGTATCATCCCCACTGTGCACAATTACTTGTATATTAGGATTTATGGTGACATCAGGAATGAGCATTTATAGTAATGTAATAATATACGAGTGTGTTGCAACCTTTCCTGGCCGATAATTATCGGCCTCATGGTTATGAATATTTATAGTACCTAATGGACTCTTCCACTTCTCTTGTAAGTTGCTCGAAATATGGAAGATTAGTTCCATCATTAAAGTGGTCAGATTTTTGGAATCGAAATGCAAGTTTCGTCACGTATTCTGTGTAAATTCACATTGTGTTAAATAGTGGAGACCTGTTACCGGTTGATATAGTGGTTGCCATATAAAGCTGTACTGCTAACTTTATTAATGAACTGGAAAGTCGTCCTGTATCAGACGACTCCCATCGAATTTGCCATTCTTCGAAAACTATATCCCTCAATCTCCGTGTGAATCTCGTGATAGGGATGAGAAGATTTTCATCATTCTCGTCTTTTAAGTTGACGCGTTTCGCATGATCATTGGCCAGCTTGTTTTCGTGATGGCCTTGTTTCGTAAGATCCATTTTAGCTCAACCGTCTGTGATTGTAAAGCCTGCCGTTATAGATTTTATTTCATTTACCAAGAAGTGGCGGTGATTAGAATTTGATAACGAATAGAGTGATGACAAACTGTTCGTGTGAATGGACGTTCTTGTTCTCTTGCAGAGCTGCAGCACCACCCCAAAGCCATCTTTGTGGCAAAGAGTTGTGCTTGGAAGACTGTGTTAAAATCTCCCAAACTTTCCTCATGGATCACCACACTTTAACAGAGTACTACGGAAGCCACCCCAATACGTCCCTCGAGCTACGAACCATTTTTATAGATTTCCATTTAATCTCCATTCGGCTTTTTCAGACTGAATGGTATGGCTATTCTCATGGCTGGATGTTCTTGCCAGAGATCAACTTTGGACTCATGGTCCTGTGCATCGAAGGTGGCGTCAGCTACCGTTACGAGATTGTTCTGTGATCTCATTTTGAGCTTTACAAACTTTCTGGTTGCCGCCAGGTATAGCGAGAATATTCCTGCTAGAACTTGCGTACTGAGTGTGGGCACACGCTTGTACGCTTTTCTTTTTAGGGGCGCGAACTGAGTGGAGGTAAGCCGTTCTCTAAATTTGAAGTTTGAGAGGCATGGGCTCTATGTACCGCTGCCGAAATTTGCATATCTCTCTGTGGCATTCAAATATATCATTTTCAGTAAGGCTTTGGGTGTTCTTATGAGTTTTTGACTCGTGTCAGAAAAGTGCTTCCTCACCCCATTCAGGTGTGCTTGAAAGGTCAGGCATGAGTCCCACACCATTCCCAGATAGCGGAAAGATTCCATACTTGTATGGGATTCATATCCCATTTAATAATAGGTGTCCTGCTACCTTTTATGTTGTCATTTTTAATAGTCATGGCGCTTATTTTATTTGGGTTAAATGCGAGCTTAGAATGCTCACTCCATGACTTCATTTTTTTATTGTCTTTTTAGTGTCCGTACGGACACATGTCTCGCAAATAATAATAATAATAATAATAATGTTGCGTTCTACGGGTTCGTGAATTTGGAGTGATTGATGACAACACATGATGAAGAATCAAAATACAATTTATTCGTCAGTATTAGACAGGTGAGTTCCAAAGACGCGTTACAGTCGTCAAAAACTTACGATAAACACGCTGAAACAATCCGCAACACAGCCTTCAGGCTATCAGGCTATAACGGTGAAGACAGCTTCACGGCAAAACACTAAAGCAGAGCTCCCGACTCTGTCTATCGCTCTCAAGCTAATCTCTGAACTCAAAGCAACACTACTGAACTCAACACGCTCAAGATATTCTTCACGTTAAACTGCTACTCCGTGTACAGGCAGGGTATTTATAGCTTTTGAACTGCCTTCGAGAACATTCTTGGGAAAACTGGTAAGAATTCGTTCTAGAATGTTCACGGTTCGTTTATGGCATATCGCCAATTTTGTTGCCAAAATGGGCGATTTCGCTCCAAATCTGGCAACCATGCCTTTCCTTGCCAATTTCTCGAACCCTAAATCTGCTTTGCGAGAAGCGAGTTTTTTGCAAATATAATAATAATAGGAAGAAGAAGAAAATCTGAAATGTTTCATATTTTAAATTACGTCCAAAGGGGCGTTTTTTTAACATTTTGTGTGTTACATTTATTTATTAAATATCACGTTCTTCGCAGTTAAACCATAAAATTCAGTTCAACAACAATATCGCAAAATAGTTTCAAAATGAGCATATCTTTAGAATTTCCGATACACAGACTCACGCGGTGGAGATAAAAATGTTTTCTTTGTAGAACGTTAACATTGCTCGCTTTGAAATCCTTGAGTTTTTTAAGCAAAAATTCGTTAAAGTTTTACAAAATAGGAAATTTGATAATAAAACAATTTCCAAATTTCAAATTGGGTCTTCCACGTGCCCATATTCGTAGGAGGATTGCGTCATTCAAAATTCGATGGCTCTATGTACCGTTGTTTTATCACAATGCGAGAAATATACATGCATTTTTGCAGATTTTTCATTATTTAATTTCTTTAACTATAACACAGGGCGATAATACTTGTGGCAACAGTTTGAAAAGTGATTCGCCGTTTGTAGTGAATCGACGCAAAATCGCAAAACGAAAACAATAGTTCTTCAGGAACAAAGTCCCTTTGGACTAATAATAATCAAAAGGGATTTGGGAACTGTCAGAATGGATATTTCCACTGAAATGTGATACTCGAAATTTTCTCGATTGCAATATTTCCTTTACTTCGTACAAGGAAGTAAAATTTCGCTTGTTACAAAAGGGTGTTTATCAATTTAGCCTTTTCCGTTTTTTCCTGCTGTCAAAACGATAACTATTCGTGCACTGCTGTTCTTTTTTCCCCTCATAGTAATGTCTATTGACTAAATATTTCTATTTCATCCTCTTTTAAAAAATTATTTTTGAGATAAGGAACATTACTTGATAAACTGTTCAATGGTTTGTGACCCTATTTGAGTGTCAAAGTAAAGTCATCCCAATATGTTTTGATTTTTAACGAAATCAGAAGCTTCACTAGTTTTTAAATATCTATTTGTACAGCGGTCTATCATTCTATCAGACTATCAGGGATCAGACTATCAGGAAATATATCAGACTATCAGGGATACTTGATGGTAATCTGAAGTAAACAGCAAAATATTAAATGAATTTTTGTAGTTCTTGCAAAACTCATTTCTACTTTTCTTCTGAAATCATCGTCTCTACCACAAATTTTAATCATTAAAAAATGAATATTAAACTTTCAGTTCGTGAATTTATTTTATTACTATAGAATATATAAAATAGTTCTTTCATTTCAAGACTTAAGAAATAGAAAATCATGTTGTTCCTAACAAAATCTAAGCCATTAGTTCCCAACGGGGCAGTACTGACCCCTCCATTGGGCGCTGAAGCTTTCCATGAGAGCGGTAGCAGGTCCAGAGGCAAAGAGCGGCGCTAAGACAATTAAAAGGGATAATCATGGAATACCTACGTATTTGGGAAATTAATATAATAAAATACTTTGAAAATACCTACTATTTCCGTAAATAAACATTTTTATCTAGCTATCTAAATTTTTTATCTTTTTGCTGTGACAAAAAGAAGCATTAAAAATTTTTACTTAGCATTAAATGTACGTATACCTAATTCGGTTTATTGTCGGTGACAAGTCCTTGCACGTTGGTAAGCAAAGATGTCATTCACACATCAAGCAAGTTTCGACAAAAATATGCAATTATTTTTTTACTGAGCCATCATCAAAAGCCATCACTGGCATCACAAATAAGCAAAAACATACAAATCGATGCGTGCACAAAATCAAATCTTTTAGAGAGAGAGAGATCTAGGAATGTCTTATTATTGTGTGCTTCACTAATAATCTATATTTGTGAGTGAAAGTGACAGAATTCATATGCTGAGCTGGATTTTAGATCCTTTCGCAGATGCAGATAAACAGAATCATCAAATTTAGCAGAACTCGTAGAACTTACAACTAATAAAGTACAATTTAGAAATGGATACCAAAAGTTCTGACAAAAACAGACTGCGTATCACTGAATATGTCAATTTGCGACTGATGTTAACGAAGTCGGAACCCGACATTAACAAATTGTTAAAATTTCACTCCCTTTAACCATTTAAGTAATTTTTTTTATTTCTTATTGATTTTGCTTTATTTTTACATTTTTAGTAAACAACTTATTATTATATTTGATCATCCTTTTAATTAATTTCTACCTTATGATATTTAATAAGTAGATATACATATAAATATATATATATGATATATAATATGCAGGAATATTTTAATATTTAGTTAAATTAACTAAATATTAAAATATAATAATAATATAGTTAAGTTAACTATAATATAAGGGGGAGTGTGGGAAATTTTTTTTTTAGTCCAAAGAAGCTTTGTCCCTAAAGGACTATTGTTCAGTATAAATGTCCGTTTCACTTTTGAAACTGTTGCCACCAAATGTTAGAGTCCTGCATTATATTTAAAGAAATTAAGTAATGAAAAAGCGGCATAAATGTATGTATATTTCTCACATAGTGATAAACGGTACATAGAGCCATCGAATTTTGAATGACGTAATCCTACTAGCATGTGGAAGCCCGAATTCGAAATCTGGAGTTTGTTCTATTATCGATTTCACGCTTTGTAAAACTTTAACGAACTTTTGATTAACCTCTTCGTCGTCCGTAACGCGTCTAGCTCGCTCAAGTGAAACTTCTGCAGGACGGCCGTAACGGGCTTCAAGCGTTCTTCTACATTTTAAAACTTTTAAACGTTTAAAACTCTTTCTAAATGTTTACTTGTTTGAGTTTTTATTTTTGTTTGCTCTAATACCTCCTAGAAGGCTGCACTAATCAGGAATTCTATTTCTAATTGAATTTTCCCCGCGTTTTATGAATATTCGCGCCATTTTACATAAGATACAAGACAGTGAGAGATGCCCTTCAACGTCTACTCAGCAGAAAAAGACAAGAAGGATATACGTTTAATGAGCACAGTCCATAATAACTCGATGATTGATGTTGAAACACGGAAAGGAACTGTAAAAGAACCAATAATTGTAAAAGATTACAACAAAATGGAAGGAGTGGACCGCCTGGATCAGATGTTATCAAATTATCCTGCTGTTAGAAATAAGAAGAGATACTGTTGCGTGCGTACGGGTTCGTTACGAAATGAATGCAAAAGTCTGATGAAAAATAGACAAAATTTTATTATTATCACAATAAAATGCTTAAATTCCCTCAGACATTCTTTCAGTATTACAATATTTCACAGTAGTTATCTTTCAACTACTCAAAAGTTCAACAGAAGTTAATTCAAAACAGCTAATGTTACAATTCAACGAATTGTAAATTAAATGGTTTTATTTCTCGCGCAATACAGCGCGTGACGAATATTAAAAGAAAGCTAAGCCGTAAAATTGAAAATACAAGAGCGCGTGCATGTAACATTTAATAGATATCTCTTTTTGATTTCAAGAAAGTACTAGAAAATTCTCGCGCGCGATTTTAAAATCTTATAAAAGGAGGAAAACCTCTCAGTTCGTAGTCAGTTATTTTAGTTAGCTCGTTGATGTTTTAGGAGTTTGTTTAGAAAACTGCTCTTGTTGATTGTAGCGAATTCGCGGATTAGCTTTCTTTTAATATTCGTCACGCGCTGTTTTTTTTTTTTTTTTTTTTTTTTTTTTTTTCTCCTCGCAAAGGGGACGGAGCTCCAAAAAAGGATGGGAACGTCTGGTCTAAGCCTTTCTGGAATTTTCATAAAGATCAATCAGATATCCATCTTAATGGATATTTTTAATGAATTTTAAATTGATAAACATAAGTCAATTGCTGTGAAAAACCTAGTGGTCACAACAAAAGAGGCATTTAAAAATTAAAATACATAACTACAAATTAATATTTAAAAATTAGAACGCTCAATCACGAATTGACTGTCAACTTCTTGCCTTTTATAAACAAAAAAAAAAGTTGTCAAACTTTTGAAACTCGTACATAATCTCTCAAACATCCTTTAAAGCTGAATACCTAGATTTGAATGAAAAAAAATATCTAAAAAGTCTAGTAAGAACAAAATATAACACGCATTTTAATGAATGTGCAATCTGATGAAGACCTGACACATACATAAGCATAAATATGATCTACGGAATGAAACTGAGTTCATAAAATGAGTTCAAATAATTTTAATTCTACCAGACCAGTAAAATATGCTTATAGCAAAAGCAGAACCTGAATAGAAGAGAACTCGGGGAAATATTTATTTATTTCAGTTTATTTGAGGTAAAATGTCTCTAGAGCAAAAAAGGTCTTATATGCTTGTAGTATATTGGCTAATTTTGTATTGCATTATGTAAGCAATTATTTATATCGTATGGGAAAATATTCATATCAACACCTAATACAATAAAAATTAACATGAAATTAAAAGCGCTTATTAAGATTATGCTTTTAACATGTGCTGCGGATACATAAGTCATGTTTAGAGAGCGCAGAATTTATAAATGCATTATTTGTTTTTTTACTTTATTAGGCGAAATGGAACAACAGAGGAGACATTAATCCAGAAACTCCCCGAGATTACCCACTTCTCCCACCTACCTCTCCTGCAGACGATTCTCGAAATTACAAACCAAATGAATGTCGCTGCCCGCGTGGTCCACCTGGATTTCCTGGAAAAGAAGGATCCAAAGGTGACAAAGGAGATAGAGGGCTTAGAGGGGAACCCGGTTCTAGTATTTTCCCCACAGATTCAACTAATACTAGGATCTGGTCCAGAGGTCCTCCTGGTGAACCGGGTTTACCAGGCCTAGAAGGAAGACCAGGTGAGATCATCTTTAACTCTTTTTGCATTTATTAAATCGGCGTCTATAATTACGTTCGTAATCTGGGGTATGTACGGAACATCTGAATTAAATCCACTCATTGAAATTAGAGAAAAAGGCATTATGGTTACCAAATTGCAGAGTAAACAGAGTAGTGAATATAAGCATGACAGCAGATATGAACTCATTGATTAATGCTATAATAATGTTTCACTGAATGTAACCATAACATTTATGCCATTGCTTTACAAACGCTGTTGCTGTCAATAATTTATCCCTTCTGCACTGTAAAGAAACTTTTATGCACATTCTGATGCAGTTGATTATTTTTTTTCTTTTCTTTTTAAAGAATGATTCTATTCAGCTCACCAAAAAGCTGTCTCACAGCGGAAGTGCTTCGTCTATGATAAACTTTGCTGTAACTGAAACTACTACTCTGAACCTAAGATAGAATGTTTCAGATGACTATTTTTCCCTTTTAATGAATGGAAATGAAGAATGAAAAATCTCTAAAGAATACTCTAAAGAAATGTATTACCTAGAAAGAGAGATATTTGCACTTTTTTTTTCCATTATATCTTTAAGAGCAATTAGACAGCTGCGTATAAAACCATAGCTTTCCATTAGAATGGCTGGTAACCTTACTGATGAATAAGACAAGGGATGATAAACATATTGTTACGAAATGCACAGGCGCGATAAGATGGCTTCCCCGCAAAGCAATTCTAGGGTTGCCATAAATGCAAGAAAAGTCAGTGTTGCCACATTTCGCGAGAAATCGCCCATTTGGCGAAAAAATTACCGATATACCATGGACGGATGGAGAACCTTCTGGAACGAATTCTTACCGGTTTAGCCCAGAATGTTCTCGAACACAAGCCGAAAGCTATATAAACCCTGCTGGTCCGCAGTCAGTGTGTGTGTGTGTGCCTCGTCTAGCGAGCTGATAGTCTGATAGTCAGTGATATCATTGAGGGAGTGCCTCGAAGTCTAGCGCCGAGTTGGTCGTTGAGTGCATCGAATAGTCTCTTAATGAATCGCGGTTAGTGCATCGTCGAGAGAGTGTGTTAAGCTCCGGGAACGACTGAACCGAAACGTCGGGAGCTGTGCTCTGTGTGTCGTCAAGTGCATCGCGAGTTGTAGCGTGGAGAGTCTCGAGAGTACGACCAAGCAGAAACGGGAGCTGTACTCTGGTGTTTTACAGTGAAGCTGTCTCCACCGTTATAGCCTGATCACCTGAAGGCTGTGTTGCTGATTGTTCCAGCGAGTTTATAGTAGATCTTCGACGATTGTAAAACGTGACTTTGGAGCTGTCCTGATTAATACCGGCCAATAAAGTGTGTTTCGATATTCCATCAAGTTCTGTGGTCGTTATTCACTCCAAATCCACATAAACCCCGTACGAACGTGAAAGAAGAAAATAACTGGTGTCAGAAAAGAAAAACGCAACAATATATTAAACTTAGAATAACAGATATTATATTTGAATAAATTATATCAGTTGTTATTATAAAAGTATTGGGTGAGTGCTACCCATCTTTGGGTATGCAAATTTGCAATGGAATTGATGTCACACATGACATTGTAATAACGAAAATCGTCGGCCAATCAAACGTGTGGATGCCTCACATATAAATGCATCGTGTCTCGCAGAGTTAATCATCTCAAAACAAAACAAAAAAAATCGCAGGTGTAACATGGAAAGCGAGAAGGAGCATATAAGACACTGTTTATTATATGAGTTCGATAAAAAAGAGTACGGCAGCCGCAGCATGTCGCAATATTTGTCAAGTTTAAGGGGAGAATGCAGTAGAAAGCACGTCGTCGATGGTTTCGTAAATTTAGGAAAGGAGAGAAAAGCTGCCAAGATCAGGCTAGGAGTGGACGACCATCACACGTTGTAGAAGACGATATTGACCCAGGCCATAACTAACAACCGGAACCCAACCGTGCAAGAATTAGCGGAGACCTCCAACGTACACAGGACAACGGTCGAGAGACGGCTGGTTAAGTTGGGTTTTACGAGAAAGTTGGATCGTTGGGTTCTACATAAGCTGACAGCTAATCAACGAGATGACCGAATCACCACCTGTGTTTCCTTGCTTTCCCGGTACAAAAACACCCATTCTTGATATGAATTGTGACAGGAGATGAGAAGTGGGTTATGTACCGTAAACATAAAGTGTCGTAGGAGTGTGTGTCGCCCTTCTGACCCGCCTGCATTGACTTCGAAAGCCGAACTTCATTCCAAGACGGTGTTATTGAGTGCGGGGTGGGATGTGCAGAGAATAATTCACAAGGAGCTCCTGCCACTCAACCAAACTATCACTGCTACCTTCTACAGTTAGACAAGCCGCATTCAAACTTGGTAGCAAAGCGGCCAGGTCCTATCAATCGTCGCCGTGTTATCCTTCATCATGATAACGCCAGACCACAGACCACATGCTGCTATCATCCCTCGCCAAAAGTTATTCGGCTTCGGTTGGGAGGTATTGCCCCATCCTCCCTATTCTCCTGAATTGGCACCAACTGTCTATTACCTATTTCGTGCGTTGAACAATTCCTTGAGTTCAGAAAATCTTTGATGAACTTGATTCTGCGAAAACTGCCATCCATCATTTGAGTTGAAACTGCCGGAATTTTACCGCCGCGGGATTTATCTCTTACCAGAAAGATGACAAGAAGTCATAGATAACAATGGGAATTGTGCACAATAATAGGTACTGTTTATTTTGCGTTCATTTGGTCTTCTTTATGGGTAATGAAAACGGGTAGAACTTTTGAAATTACCCAATATTTATCTTCACCTCTAGTACTTTTGCCTTAAAAAGTGTGGTATTATTTATACTTTAATATTTTAAAAGGTATCGTAATAAATCTATGCTAATGGGCATCAAAAGAGTAATCCCAATTGAAAGTAAGCATGAAAGAAATATTTTTAAAAAATTTATTATATCCTCCGACATTAGGTGCTACACGGGAAAGGAGGGATAGTCCGTAAATGTCTTCTTTTTAAGGGAAATTGGCTCATAATCACGTTACACGCCAGCTCGAACCCTGTACCCAACGACCAGTTTTTTGCGTTCGGCCATAATGATAACATTATGCAAAGTTATCATTCTGTTCCCTCTGCAATCACATCTCCCGCAGAATTTAATTCTGCCTTGAATATTTTCTCGCGTTAACTTTATTATTTGCACTCTCACTGTATGCCACATGCCAATGGGCCTATTAATCGTAAAATCTTTCCTCTCCGCTTTATGCTTTTATGTTGTATCGTGTTTATACGAAAAAATTATAAAAAATCAAAATTTAAAAAAAAATGATTAAAAATCTAAAAACTTACAAAAAAAAATTATGTATCCTTAAGTTTTATAAATTCTCGCTATCTCTAAACTTTCTCGAGCCATGTGGCTCCCTCTATTGAGAAGTTTACTACTTATGTAATTTTCCTCTTTCTGCTCGCTTTTATGTAATTCTGATGAGGAGGTACATGGTTTTGAACCATAGGCACTCCGCAATTTTTAATCATTGGCATTGGCTAACGTAGTTGTCCCTTAATTTAAATTAGCCGACGATTATCAACAGGCACGTATAATATGGCCGAGCTTAATAGCTTCAAGAAGGAAATAGCCATTGCGATTAATGTGGGGCTTGATGCTATCTTGTCTTATGATTGGGATTTTGGGGAACTACGGATTTTATCGGACAGCCGTAATGCACTGCAACATCAAACTATGAAACCAGCATATCTATTCTGCTCAAACTGAGGAAGATATCTCAGACCCACGACGTCCACCTCCAGTGGATCCCATCACATGTTAATATTAGTCGTAATGAGGTCGCTGATAAATTGGCAAAAGAGGGTAGTGAAAGTGAAATGGTCACTGGCTTCTCACTTACTTACCAAGTTAGAACTGAAATTACCATCACTTCCTCTAGTACCTAATCCGGGTGGACCTGGAGGCCCTGGTGGCCCTGGTGGACCCACAGGGCCAGGCAAACCATTCAATCCGGGTTTGCCTGGCCCTGAAGAACTTTATTCAAATGAAAGATCTAAATTTAATATTATATGGCGTATTCCACCTACGCACCAGTGGTCCACAGGAACTATCCCATGGCTCCCTACTGGAAATCAAATGTGACCGTGTCAAATGAGACTGCTCTGGCTAGATTAACAAGTGGCCATCTTAAATGTCTTTCCTTTGACAGTGGCAAAAAAATCCACCCCGATTGTAAAAAATGCTGTCACCATTCAGCTTCACCGGATCACATACGGGGTTGCATCGGACTTTTTGTCCGATCCCCTCTCTGTTATTGATTTTTTGGCCGTCAGCAACCTTCTGGAGCTGATCTGACATATGCCAGATCTTTCGAGAATAAGCAACAACAACAGGAAATAGAAAGAAAGCTAACACACGCAACCTAGACTCCTAAACACTCTCTCTCGAAGTTAGTTGAACTTCCTATAAATACTACTCCTAACTCATTTAATTCAACACGATTCTAAAAACTCATTCTGGTAGGGAGTTGTAAGTGGAAAACAAGATTGGAAAGGGTTTCGGAATTAAGAATAACTGTTATAAAAATAGAATACACAAGTTTTATAATACATATGATTTTTATTACAATAAGCAAATGATAATATACACGATAATAAAATTGTGCTTGTGCGAGATTTATTAAGATTAATTTTTTACGTATTGAAATGTTTCTGATAGTTTATAATTTTAGATTTAAAGAAATTAAATTTCAGAACTTTTTTTTTATTTTACTGGTAATTGACATATATTACTTGCTTGTAGAAGTGCAATGGCTACTTTTCTGTTAGAGCCTATTTAGTATCAACATAAACTTTCGAGTAAAATCTAGCTAGATGATGGTAATACGTAACGATACCTGAAGCTTTGCGGAAAAAAATAATTTGTAATAACAATAATAAATGTATTATATAATAGATATATGTCCTTTAATATGCGCTAATGTATTATATAATATATATATGTCCTTTAATATGCGCAATGCCGATGATAGCCTGTGCGTGTCGAATTTGCATAGTTCTTTGATTTTTCTTAAGCAAAAACAAGCCGCTATTTACATATTAGAATAACAGTATTCTTCATATGCACAACGATCTGTTATTCAATACAGTAAAAAATATTCAATATATTGAGCGAATACATATTCAGTTTATTGAGGTAAACAATGTATTGAATATTTATTTTTAATTGTCGGAAATATCTTAAATAGATTATCCGAAATGACTTCGTCCCATTAGATCGTGAAGCAAGCTTCTATTATATTTGGAGCTATTATCATAACTGATGTGAAGTAATATTTCTGTTTTATTCTTTCCAGGTCGTGAAGGAAGAGAAGGTTTGCCAGGATTACCAGGTGTAAAAGGAGAACGTGGTAACGACGGGGAGCCCGGATTGAATGGTTTGCCTGGCCCTGTGGGCCCACCAGGGCCGCCAGGGCCTCCAGGTCCACCCGGATTAGGTACTAGAGGAAGTGATGGTAATTTCAGTTCTAAAAATCATGTTTTCCGATTATGTGAATACTTTTTATTGCCTTTTTCTTAAAAATCTTAAAAATGTTCCCATTTATCGTAGATAACGACTTCTGAAACTGAACAGTATGTCTTAGAATATGAACAAACTTTAATATTGTGCTTCCCCTAAGGAAGCCATCTTTGCATGGAAAGCCAAAATAATTTAATGCTTAGATCTACAAAACCTTGGGATTTGATAGGTCCAAAATCATTCTGTAATTTCTCTTAATTCTATCTCATGAAAACAAAAAGGTATAGTAGGGGCACTGAACGATCTCTGCGCATAGGGATCTAGATTGTCTTAATATACTGTGCATAAATGTGCACTTTTAAATTGAACTGTGCATAATTACCTTGTTTAAACATCACGATAGTGACCATCGTAAATCAGTTTTATGTGAGGAAAATAAGATCAATCGTTAGTGCATAAAAAAGGGAATCCAAACTCTGGATTTATGTGAATAAAATAATAAGACATTCTGAGTAACACTAGATAGTATTTGATTGCAAGAAGTAGAATATTTGCATATTTGTAAGATTGTAAATTTAGAACATACTGTTAAGTGTATGAAATCGACCAGTTCTCCACTCTGTGTAATATTTTTTAAGTACTTTTGTCGATAATAATATGAGAATCAATTTTGTACATTAAAAGTGCTAATTCAATAAATTCCATCTCTATCAGAAATCGCAAAAATGCTTTTCAGAGATCAAGGTTTACCACATACAGGTCAATTTCATTGTACGTAATTTAAAGCTTCTTCATGAAAAAGAAATTTTGTTCGGTAATTTTTAAATACATTCATGTAGAATGACTTAATTTAACAAAAATTGATTACTGATATTCTTCCTGTTACTTTTAACTTTTATAACCTTTTCTAGTTTGCATTATGTTTTTAGAATACCATCAACCGTTTTCAATTAAGAGTAGGATCCATACATTATTTAGAGTAAAAATAACAACAAATTTTCAACAATGCATAATGTTAATAAATGTTTTTTTTTTCTTTGCAGAGATCTGATTTAATTCTAAAGATGGGCGACTTAATTCAATTTTCCTTCATAAATTTTCATCATCTTCTTAAAGTCTAGTAAATCTTGCTTATTAATATGCAGTAAAGATATGAAAACTAATTTTTAGCCATAAAAAATTACTTCAGAAATCATTCTTTAATCAGTAATGGTATTATAATGCCTATAATTTTTGTATTTACAAACTCCGAACTTTATAAAAGTTTTGATTTTATGTTTAAATCAAATAGAAGAATTACAGACCCCTCCCAAGAAAAAGAGTGCTATTAGATGTGCTATGTATTTTATAAAAATGATTTTTAACCGTTGGTTCTCTACTTTTCCTTATAAATTACTGAAAAGAAAGAGACGAAAAATCGCCGGAATTTCTTTTAAAATTTTGTACAATCGATATTTACAAACGAATGAAAATCTTTCAGCAATTGATGTGAAATAGAAACATTTTTCATTTTCTGTTATAACATACGTATAGCATATAAATATATAAATTAAATTAAAAATAGTTTAAAAAAATGTCCTTTTATCTGCATCCTTTTTTCAACTATAAAGGTTAATAAATTTAATTTAAATGTAATTAATTTAAAACTGAAAGATTTTCGTAACTTTATTTGCCCAATTTGTTCTCAGTACGAATCTCGGTATATTAATGACTGTGTTCTACTGTTAGATATGGCGTGCATTTTCCGCATTACAAGTTTTTTTTTAATACATATTTCAAAGTTGTTTAAAATTTTTCTTCGGGCTACATTCTTTTTTCTATTTTTGACCACATATTAGTTTTTTTTTTTTTTTTTTTTTTTTTTTTTTTGTAATTTTACTGTATTATTAAATTTAAGCCAAGTGCTTTTTTCGATTCCATCCAGCCAGGGTTGGGCTACTATGCACTTTAATTTGTTTTTCCCAGGTAAAATTTTTATAAGTATTGATGAAATTTCTGAAGTGTATATAGGTTAGCTCAGAAACGGGATAATTTTCTTTTACTTTTCTCGAGACACCAACTCTGTGATGAAGATACGTCGGGAAATGTAAAATCCATTCAATCTAATTGGAATATCATTTTTGAAACATTTCTTTAAATTTTTATCTCAGTGTTTTCTATATTGCTTTCAGTTTTAATTTTATTTTCAATTTTAACACAAAATTATTTAATTTTTGAGGATATTTTACTTATATCACTTTTGTGCAGTGATTGTTTTGTACCAATTCCTTTTGGTTCTACTTTGGAATATCTGAATATAATATTTAAATTTGCTTTAAAATTTAATTTAAAGTTATATAAATGCATAGATGTATAAGACCTTTTTAATGCTTTTAAGTTAATAATTTCTTTTTAATCCTTTCTTAACCCAGTCTTTATACCAAGGAAAGGAGATCTACCTCCAGACTATGATTATCAGGATAACCTATCTATGATGCAGGTACGTAAATTTTTAATTGATCTGAATTTTTATCAATATATTTAAGCGTTGTCCGGTTCCTGTAATTACGTTTGAGAAAATTCTGTACTTGTTATAAAAAAATTACTGTAGACTCTCTCTTTTAGCTTAAAGAGCCGCTGATGCGTAGAATTACTTACGAAAGTGTGAGGGTGTTATAAAAAAATAAAACAAACAAAATATCTTACACACACATATATTTTATTTTTTATTTATTACATTTATTCATTCGATATGACCTTACGTAAAATTGGTCGATGATGTTAAACCTATAAATGAATTGTCGAGTATACTTGGATAGTTACTTGCCACCATCCTGAGATTAAAATGATGCTTCATAAAATTAGATGCCTTTTCATTTCGTTTCACGTCTACATTGATATGATGTCCCGGTAGTGCTTTCACCTTGAATGGCAGAGCCGGTTAGTACCAAAATCACTAGTCTGCATTGATATCTCCCATGATAATAATAGGAGCATCTGTATCTACAGTAAACTCGCCATCGATCGATAGTCTCAGAATATTTCATCAATGCACTGAACACGAACATCTTTAAATGTTTTGAATTAGCATCTGGATGAATATATATGGATGCCAGAATATATCTTGACTGTTCATTAATAATTACATCAACTATACAAATGCCGCCTGCTTATGAATCCTGTATTCTCTTACGCTACTTAACAGTAAATTCATTTGGTCCACAATGTACTACACTCGCCAAATTTCTGCAAGTCGCTACAGGAAATAGCTTGGCAAAATAAAATACAGCAAACACTACCCGAGCACGCTGACTGTCTAGGCACGTTGTCTGCCAGACAGACTTGCCACTCGCACGCGGTCACGCATAAGCACAAAGCTTTGACTTCGCTAAAGTTTCGCTATTCTTGACGCTATTCTATACATATACCGTTTGTTTAATTTTTAAAATGTTTATATATTTTCTAAAGTGCTCTTTTATCTATCTAATGATGCATTTATATTGATTGCATCATTAGATAGTTATATTCATTAGATAGCAATATTTGTAGTTTCGAAGATATAATCATTCGCGCACACCTTAAATAGCTTCTTAATATTAAACTTTTCAGACCATTAGGAAGGAACGTAATCCTACGTTTAAAAAAAAAAAAAAAAAAAAAAAAAAAAAAAAAAAACAAAAAAAAAAAAAAAAAAAAAAAAAAAAAAGAAAGAAAGAAAGAAACCGAAAAGTTGACTTTAATCCAACAAAAATTGACTGAGATGTTCATTTTAATACTAGTTCGTAGAAATCTGCATGTAAATTGAATTCTTTTATTATATATTTTTCTTCTAAACAAGCATTTTTCAGCCCATGGAGCAATTTAGCTAAAATTTATGCGTATTTTTATGCAAAGTTAGACCCCCGACTTGAGCACTTTTTGTTGTGTCAACTTCCGATCAATTCCGGGGTATTACTGCATATAATTTTAGTAATATTCAATAATATTGTTGCGTTTTTCTTTTCTGACACCAGTTGTTACGTTATTTCCTTCACGAGTTCGTACGGATTTGGAGTGAATAACGGCGACACTGGATGAAGTATCGAAACATACTTTATTTAGCCAATATTAATCAGGACAGCTCCAAGTTCCTTTTCATAGTCATCGAAGATCTACTATAAACACGCTGACACAATCAGCGACACAGCCTTCACGCTATCAGGCTATAACGGTGAAGACAGCTTCACGGCAAAGCATTAGAGTAGAGCACCCGACTCTGCTTGGTCGTTCTCGTAATTCCACGTACTCTCGAGACTCTCCACGCTACAACTCACGATGCACTCGACGACACACAGAGCACAGCTCCCGACTCTTCGGTTCTGTCGCTCCCGGAGCTTAACACATTCTCTCGATGATGCACTAACCGCGATACACTAAGAGACACTCGGCACTCGCTGCCCGGCTGTCAACTCGATCGAAATCTCACAGACTGACTAACTACCTCGCCCTCTATGAGGCACACTCCCTGACTGCGGACCAGCCACCGCGCCTGCACATTTCGTAACAATAAATATTTCATTAAATAAAAGTGCGGCATTGTGTCTTATGACTTGTTTTAGCTCTCAACGTCTTGGATACATTTCACAGATGGACAGTTTATTATAAAAATATGGTAATTAAATTAGGACAAAGTATCATTTTCGAATACGAAGGAAGTTTTTGATAATTATATAGCTCAAAATAATTGTTCTTGTATGATATACTCAGAATGCAGTAACACAATTTGTCCAAAAATTATATCAAAGCTTCGTATTGTTTCATTAAGGTCGTGTTAGAGAGCATGCAGAAGACAAAACTGGACATAGAAAATTTGCAAACTAGAGTGGCCATTCTTGAGGAAGTTCTTCCCCAGATATTAGGTACATTTTTAATTGTTCTATAAAAGCGAAGTAGCAGTTTTATGGCGTTATTTTTGTTGAATTTATGAATAAGGGATATAATGTTTTTATTTCTTTTTTTTCTCCCTCCTTCTAGAACAAAAGCAACCACCTATCGGTATCAGCGTAATTCCTGCGGATGACCAAGATCATTCTGGTGATAATCAGTACAAACGATTTGGTTAAAAACTTATTACATAAATCGTTTTCAACATTACAAAGCCATTGGTTTGCTAATGTAGCAGCAATTATAGTGGTGAAAAGAAAAACTAAGTTTAAAGCAGAATTAATTATGCACGCCTTGAAATAATCTCTAAATTTCAAAAATGCGTATGATTTCAATATTTTGCCAATAAAGTGGGAAAATAAATCTTTTGATAAAATGCATGCCATGACCATAACTTTATTTTATGTATTCTTTTTTTGGGGGGGGTCCTGTTTTTTCCTGAGAGATGAAAAATTTATCCGATGAAGGAACTTGGGATCTTTGCCTTTCTAAGACAATATGGTATACAAATCTTCTAGAGAAAGATATATGTGCGAACGGATAATGACAGATTATATGCGACAAAGATACATGGGCCATCATTACATTAAATGTGTTATCTTAAACAGAGTTTTAGTTTTCAGAGTAAATGCTGTCAATAAAATGTTTCTTAATCATTACACTTTATTTCGCTCTTAGTTATTTCAATACGCAAAAACTAAGAGATACATTGCTGATGTTTAGAAAAATTTTACTAAAATGTTTAGAAAATTTTTATTTAGTCAAAATGAGCTTATGATAAAAAGTTTTCTCAGTGGATGTCTAAGCTTTGCACATATTCTTTCTAAAGAAAACTGTTCAGTGTGTCTCTTGTTTTGTAACGGAAAAAAAGCGAAACTAGTTTATCAGCTCAAAAGAATGAAGGATTTTCCACGTTGTTGAAAAGAACCATTTAAGCTTTAACGTCTAGTAAAAATTGAAAAATAATTCCATGTTTCCCTCATCTTCGACGTTCAATTAACAAATGTAAAATCATTAGTTATTCTTGAAAAAAATTAATTTGTAGATCGAAGTTATTGAACGATATAGGTTATATACAACAATATGTCTCCACGATTTAGGTTCGGTTTCGTTTGTTTGATTATGGCAAAGCACATTAGGGCTATGGGGAAGGATGCCTTCGCGGAGGGTTTTTAAGGAAATTTGGCTCAAATCCACATTAAACATGAGGGAAACCGCTTTACTATATAGAAGTGTATAAAATAATAGTACAAGTTTGTACAGTAATTAATTTGTAAGTATAATTTATTGATTAAAAATCAAAATTAGATACGGGATGTTTTAATCTCGAATGATATAAATCAGAATAAAGATTCGAAACATTGAAAACTCAAATCGGCTCGCTTTATTAATTATTTGAATACTAATACTTAAATTCGGTTTAAATTCGAAATATTTATTTTTACAGATGTTCAGTGGAAGAGTTCATTAAAAAAAAAAAAACATGACTATTGTAATTTCGGTATACTGAAATTAATTTTGAAATTATTAAATTTTAATTGAGCTAAATTAAATTATAATTAAAATTAAATTTCAAACTTCCGAAAAATTAATTTTTACTGGTGTCCATTAGAAGAGTTCATCAGAATAAGAATGCCCTTGTAGCAATTTCTGTAGACTGGAATTAAATTCGAATTGAACTAAATTAAATCCCAAACTTCGGAAAGATTAATTTTGATTGAAATTCTGTAGAAACGTTCACTGAAAAAGAATGCTATTGTTGCAATTTAAGTAGACTTGAATAGTGGTAGCCGGGGTCGGGACGAGGGTGAGGCACTTGCCTCAGGTAAACAAATGGAAGGGGCGCAAATTAGCTATTCGATCAAAAATTCAGAAATTTGTTTTTAAAATTTAGGATTTTTAACTTTTAATTTCGGAATACATCAGTGAATATTAAAAGAATTTTGTCTTATAAACAATCCAGCTAAAAAAAGAAAAAAAAACTAATAGCATTAGTTTATTATCAAAAGTAATGAGCTTTCACAGTAGTGTATATAATATTTTCTAACATTAAAATTTGTTATTGAAAGTAGCTTTAAGGAACTAATTACACATTGTGTAACGAATTGTATAAACTAAACTTTCATAGAAAATATTATGCTGCTGACATTATTTGTTCTTTGCTGTCTCTCATTAGTTTGACTTAAGCTCTTTACTTACTCATAACAAACTTGCCAAAGTCCACTAACTGAACATAGAAGGCGAGATTAACTGCTGAATTTTGCAGTTTCATAAACGCCTTCTGGGATAGCATCCGAATAATAAACAAAGGTGATTGAAAATGAAATGTACCATATTATTATTTTTTGCCCCCAATGGCAGATTGTGAACAATTACAAATGTAACCCAAACCATTAATCTATACAAGTCCGGATGTGGTGGTCTCTTTATTATGGGGGCACCTAATAGGTGGGCCATCATCGCCTTTCTTATGAGGGGACGGACAGTTACACCCATGCCTTCTCCGGGATTCGAACCCAGGCCCTTCGGCAAAGTCAGCTTCCCTGGCCACTATACCGACTGGGCGGCATGTACCATATTATTAGTTACTGCACTTTTTTTATATAAACTTTTCCAATAAACGAGGCGCATGAATCGAAGTTTTTGGCTTTTATTCACACTCATGTTGCGCGGGAACTATATGGATTATTCCAGTTAAAGTTATTTCTGAAGCAGATGTGGAAGGATTAAACAAATTGGTTTATTCTTTGTCAAGTGATATATAAGGTATATATAAGTGTCAAGTGATATATAAGTGTCAAGTAAATATATAAGGTAAGATAAATGTTTTTTAATAATTCTATTGTTTGTATTGAAACAATAAAATAAATTTTTCAGTTTTAGAGAACTAAAAAGGGAGGTTTAAAACTGAGTACTTTGTGGAAGATTTAAGACAAACTGTTCTGGCTAATTCTAACGTAATTAATTGATTTTGACGTAACAAATATCTTTTAAAAAAAATTAGTTTTGTTCCGCTGACTGTAACGGGATCGATATAAAAGCTGTTCTATTCTAAAAAGCTGCTTGGTAAAAAAATTTAAGAAATACTCTCTGCTGAGAATAAAAATTAATGATAAACACCTGCCATAGTCGCGAAATTTAGCGCATAGAAGTTTCTTGAGTTAATTGATGATGCGCAATAAAAGTAAAGATGAAATATGAAGACTCTTAAAATCTTTTTAATTTTAAAATTATGCTTTTATTGCCGCGATATTGTTAGGGAGATTGTTAGGAAAAAAAAGGTCTGACAGCCAAACTCTTGGCATATTTAAAAAAGATGGTATATAAATTTCTGCTCAAGCTCAAATAAACTTTTCGTCGGGGGTGGATAGTTTAACTGACGAAAGATTCTGTGAATATTAAAGACTGATTTCATTGATTAATCTATTATAATGATGCTCGCGACACTATATGCTTTAGAAGCGATGCTTTCGTGGAGGATGTTCTGATGTTCAAGGTACAGAAGACTAAATGCAGTTAATCCGATCATTACAATAAACTCTTTGAACAAATTGCCTATGTTACCCCTCTGCCACGTCTAAACGCGAACATTAATCGAAAGACCAGAAATGTAGAAATTATTACTTAGTAGTTGTTAAGAAGAATTTCCGCGATCAGAAATATTTCTTTAAGTGCTTAACATGAAAGTCGCAATTTTACTTCACATGCCGAAGAGGATTATTTGTGGAACTACGTTAAAGGCTAAAAAAATTGAAATAACTATAAAATTCATTTCACATAAGAGAATTTAAAACAATGACGGACACATGTTCGTATAATTTTAGAAATACGAAATGGTTTAAGTATAATAACCATACTCAGGTTTCATTAATATTGCAATGTACAGAGGATTAGTAATTTAAATTAAGAATTGTAATGGATTTTGATGTATTAATAACATAACTGTGGTAAAACAATATTGCAAACTTTATATAACGAAACCATAGCTCGTATTAAAGTATGTGATATTTTTCGTTTCATAACAACCCGACATAATTTTCTACAGCTAGCACAAATTCTTATCTCGTATGACTGACTATATTACTGTTTTCAAAGTAAGCATTGTGAATAATGTTTTAAAGTATGGCAATCCGTTGTTCTTCGTTTACTTCGTAACCCTAAAAACAAGTTTTACTGCGGTTGAAATAAACTGATTTCATAATCAGTTTATTTCAGTATGTTTTTCTCATTGAAAATATCAAGTTGGCAAATATAACTTTCTGGAGAAAATGTCTGCTGCATCTTCTCTTATAACGGAAAAGATCCAAAATCTGCGAGGGAGGAAAATGGAACGCTATAATTAGCTAAATAAAGCGTTTATAAATGCGTTTCAAAACAGAATCTTTTTCATAGTCAAACAGAAATATCAAATGCTACGTCGAAAGAAGTTTATGGCCTGATAATATTTTTAAATACTTTATAATATTTTTTGTTTTATATTTTTCTAATTTTAACATTATGTAAATTTCATTCAACAATAATTTTTTATTGTTTTTATTGTTGATATTTTATGCTGAATACGAAAGAAGGAAAAAATTAAGAAATTACGTTCATCAAAGCTGCGCTTTACAGTCACAGGAAATTCAAATGAAATAAGTAATTCAACAAAAAGAAAATAATAATAGATAGCTCAGAAGAAAATGTGGTTGAAGTTGGAGAATATATCCACTTTGAGTCAGATAAAAGCAAAAAATTAATTTAAATTTCTGGAAACAAGGAGGATAAAGTAACCATTAAAATGATTAACTTCAATGATCCTCCATCATGGCCAACAATTTCAGACAAAATAAAACTTTTCTTTATGGAATATGGACCAGATCAAGGACAAGATGCTGATTTCAGAGAATCTACTTCAGAGGATGACAGAAGATTTTCTAGAAAATGATTTTTTAAGAAGTGTTCTAATGGGGAGGTAATACATCGCAACTGGCTTATTTATTCAAAAAGACCTCTGTCGTCATTCTGTTTTTCACGCATTTCCCATTCTTTTTACTAAATGTAAGTCAGATTCTACTATTTCTAATCCAAAAAGAGGTTTCAAAGATTGGAAAACCTTAAACCGAATTGCCGATCACGAAAATTCTACGTTTGAGAGTGATGCTTGTCTTCGATGGAAATGCTTTGAAAAAAAAATTAAAGGAGGTGGTTACATAGATGATTTTCTGCATAAAGTAATAGAATCAGAAAAATAAAAGTGGCGACATATCTTACGCGTTATATTAGACATCATTTTATTTTGTGCAAAACACAATTCACCTCTTAGAGGTACGCATGAAATTTTTGGCAGTTCAAATGCAGGAATGTTGCTAAATTTAACTAATAAGTCATTATGATAGAAATATTGCCTATC